GGAGAGGTCTGCCATGCCATGTGGTCACCTCCGGGGCAGGCGGGAATCGAACTCATGCGGAAGCGGCTTTAGATTCTCAGTGCTGTGCTTTAACCCACTGTGCCACCAGGGAGGCTGCTAGCAATATTTTTATATTGGGATGTATCAGAATTGTCCCAACCACTTGTCAAGACTTGAGTATTCTCTAGGTGCCCTGATTTCCTCCTTTTCCTTTTACTGTTATACTCATCACCATCAACCCTGTTTACTTTTACTTTTATACTGTCAGTCTTTTCTTTCCTGCTCACTTTTAACTCTAAAGTTGCAACATACTGAAATCTTCCTTTAACTCAGTTTTCTAAGTTACTGTCCAATTTTTTTCTCTAAATTTCTTGAAAGCAGTAACTATATTTGCTACCTCTGTTACTACATGTTTCCTCCTTAAATCTTTACCTGTTTCTTGCTTATTAACCTTTTACTGAAACAAACTTTTTCACAGAGAACTCCACTCACAAAACCTAGATATCTGAATCCAAAAGCCCTTTTTCACACCTCATTCTCTACCACAGTAATATTGGAGTTCGTCCACGCTCCTTCCTTGAAACTCTCCTTTTTCCATTTCTCTGTTTTATTGATTTGCTGCTTGTCTCTTTGACTTCCACAGATATTTATTGAGCACTGATGTATCAGGTACTTCCCAGATGTTGGGCATACAATATTGAACAAAGCAAACAAATCCCTGCTCTGATGGTGCTTCTATTTCTGCTACTCTCTTTTGCATTCTCCCAACCGTAAGCATTCATGAACACCTGTCCTTCTCCACCTTGACATTTCTTACTTGGTCTGGGTGGAGTTTCTTATTCTTCTTGTTCTCGTGACTTCTGGTCACCCAGAGCAATTGGAGGCATTGCTCCATCTCATTCAAATTGAATTGATTCTGTTTTCTAACCATTCCTGAAATATGTCTATATTTAAGCTCCAATAGTATTGAAAACTCTTAACACCGAGGATCAAACTCAGGCTTTTATTTTCTCTTACTTAAACTTCTGCTATAGCCTTGTTGCTTGTCTCTTTTGCCTCCAGGATCTTCTATTTCAATCCTGTTTCCTCCCTGATGCAAGACTGAACTATTTGTGGCATGATTCACATTGCAAATAGTAGTACTCATTCCCTAAATGAGGGAAAATAAACCATCCCAGCATGCAAGACTCCATCTGGGGATTCCTGAACGCAGTTTGATTATTTTTTTACTCAGAAACTTGCAAAGCATTGTGACTTTTTTTACAGAGACATTCTATTTAGTTGGAAAACAGCCAAATTCACATACTTGAGTAATTCAGTATTTCAGCAAGTATTACAGAAATTAATGGAAAAATATTTTTTAAAAGTTTTAGCCCAGCAATTCTTAACCAAAATATAAGGGTTATCTTTGATACAATTAAATCCTGTATTCTCAAGCTCTGACCTCCAGGTGGTGATTCAAGAGGACTGGGTAGACTCAGTCCTCCACCTTAAAACCTGTGGTCATTGCTGTTACCGGTCTCCACAGGTAGTTCTTCCCAATGTGCCTGATGTACCTCTTCCCAGTCTGCTGTGACTGCTCACTTATATAGTCAGAGTTGGGGTCATCACTCATTGAATTGGGGACTGTCATAGATCTGTATCATACCTCAGAGACGCTTAAGGACAAGGGAGCTAGCATACAAAATAATGTCTCCTGAAAAGAAGAACATGGAGCTAGCTGCTCCCTTGTCTGTGCTAGTGAAGCCACTTCAAAGTCTTAGGCTTACAGAAGAATAGTCTTTTTCCTAAAAGAATTAGATTTGTTTTATGAGAACTATTTCTTCCCTACTGTGTGAAGATTCGTGTTGTTAGATTTGTTAGTGTGTAGTTGCTTCAGAAGGTGACAGGGAAGGAATGGTGGGTAAGCTCCTACCCTTTGAACCTCATGTATTTTTATGTCAATATTGACCATAATCATTGTGTCTGTAAAGGACAGTGAACAGGTAAGATATTCTAGGAGTTGAGCCAGTAGCTCTGACAGTTTTTGAATATCAA